CCGTTTTCCGTGAAGGTAAGGAATAGGTTGGATTCAAAGCCTTTGAGTATTCTCGGAATCCCTCATTTTCTACGATACTTATTGGTTGTAAATCCTTATATACCATTTTGATCAGTGCGCGATCGATTACTTTTTTTTTTTTTTTTTTATGTACATCCATCGTATTTCTCTGGACAAACTGCATTATGCTGGACTGGGATTTTTGTGAAAATACACCAACAATATCACAAGCACTGTTGTCTACCGTAAGTTGTGTAGTCTGCTGGGATGTGCATGGTTGCCCACCATCTGCAGGGCTAGTGACGACAGAACGGGCTGGAGCGGCATCAATATCATCAACATCTTGATTCGGCAAAGCGCGTTTCTCGTGCAGATTTACACAAGGATGCTTCCTTTGCAAATGTTTTTTTAAATTTCCTGTTGAACCACCTTTGATGGATAAAAGGTCTTTACAAATGTCACACATAACTTTTTCGTCTTCATTAGTATAGGAAAAGTGCTGCCAAACCAAGCTGAATTTCCTTTTCTTACTAGACATTTTGTAATTCGATTTTTTTTTTTTTTTTCTGAGGCGTAAGAAACTGATAGAGACTAAGCAATTCTATAACGTACCGATACTCACCAGTACGAGACAAGAATGAATCTTATGGGAAAAGTGACGAAGTTGGGAGATGGTCATCAGCATCGTCAGATAAGCATAAAAAAAATTCTATTAACGACTTCCGCTGTTCACTCCAGCTGCAAATTCTAAAATCAGCACTACGCTGTGTGAAAAGGGTAAGCGCAATATCGCGTAATGATTCTATTAATCAGGCATGAAAGAGCAAAAAATGCAAAGGAAAAAAGGGAGGGACATGTATGTTTACATAAACATGTCCGGATAATTTCCGGTGTTCCATTCGATAGTTTTCCCCCCCCCCTCAAATAAGCTCCAGAGGGAGTAAAAAAAAAAAAAAAAAAAAAGATTCGGACTGCCAGGTCAAAGTTCACCTCTCTTCCTATCGGAGGAGCGTCGTCACGTCCTGGGGGGTAAAGCAGGCGTTGACAATCCTGCGTTAGGCACATGACCTGGGTTTAGTTTTTGGCGAGATGAAAATCTGTTTTTTTAGAAGGGGGAAGAATTATCATAAGTGGGTCAGTTATCTTTGTTCTTTCATTAGAAAAGTTTAAAATTGCGTCTGTATTTTATGTTGATTGGCTTAGTGATCCACTAGATGCTGTGACATTTTCTGAAGTAGGTACAGCGGGATAAAAAAAGGATCATATTTATTTAAAAAGGATCATATGCCCTATTAAGCAAGCAAACGAAAAAATATTTTTCATGATTTATGCTAAAAATATGTTGAGGAAAAGGAAGTAATCTAGTTGGTAGTTGATTCCATTCACCAATCCAACAACAGCAACTTACCAAATCAATCATTTCAGATCCACGCAGTTTTTCTCCTACAAACGATGAAAAATTAAAACATGCACAATTCGGATTGCAAATCATCTAGCGCTCCCCTCCCTTTCCCTCCTGACTATACCGACTCCAATCACAAGCGAGCAATGCCGGCGACAGTGACTCCAACTGCTACTATTCCCCCCCACACACAACGAACGGCCTTTCGAAAAATTTCCACTATTTCACACTCGTCCTCCCGCACGCACACAAAGGCAATTAATTATACTACCTCAAACTCTAGTCTCCGTGACGAACGGAACGGAAGTTCCCCCCTTTCACGTTTGCCATTCCATGCCCTATTTCAAGGTCATTCATGGACACAAGGAGCGCATATCACCATTTCGCAAATACAACCAGATACTACTGTCCTCGTACCAAAACCGAAGTGAGCTGAACCCTCATCGATCCTCCAGTAACGAATACCGAAATACCGAGAAGAGACGCATATTTTCGTTACAAAGTAGCGAATACCGAAAAGCACCCGTTTCGGTACAGAAGTAACGAATACCGAAAAGTCCGTTTCGGTACAGAAGTAACAATAGAAACCCTTCACAGAAGTAAATAAAAAGTACCGTATATACCTTATAAGATATTTTAAAAAAAAGACTCAAATTTAAAATAGCAAGGCATAAAAATAAAATAATCGAGTCAAAATCTTAAAATATTTTTTTTTTAATTTTTATCAGATAGCACTTACTTGAAGTAATTTCATGACTTAAATCATGTGACGAACTAATCACAGAATCCCTCTGAAATGATTATAAAATCATTTAAAAAATGTTTTATTAGCAACGAAGTAGACGGCACAGAAGATGATGCTGTTTTTGAAAGTGAAAATGACGACGAAGGCTTTAGTAGTGATTGTAAGAATACAGAGTTCGAGACTGAAAATATGTATGACGACAGAAGAGTTCTATGAAATGTTTGGCGAATCTGACCATGAATCGGATGTTGAAGGATTTTGATTTTGTTTATTTACCAAGGTATTTTTTATTGTATATTTACTTTCTTTTCTCAGATGATTTTGAATAAATGTAGTATTTAAAAATTTTTTTTTCGAAGTTTCTCGATCGATTTTGGAAGTGGGGGGTCGACTTATATGCAGGTTTTCTTATTTTCTAGGAATTTTTTCTAGGGGTCGACTTATACGCGATATCGACTTATACGTGGGTATATACGGTACCCGTTTCGGTACAGAAGCAACGAATACCGAAAAGTACCTGTTTCGGTACAGAAGTAACAAATACCAAAAAGTACCGATTTCGGTACTGAAGTAATGGATACTTGGATGTACCGATTTTCAGTACCTGTTACAAAATACCCGGTTTGGTAGCACCGACTCATCACTAGACGTGAGTGTACACAAAATGCGTGCGGTTGGCACGCCAACTCAAGACTACTATAAAAGGAAGGATGTACATGCAATTAAAGACATTCGCTGCAAGTACAAGTGAGTTCTTTTGTGAAATATGGCTAGAAGAAATCACATGGATGACTTCACACATAGAAGAATGATTGAAAAGCTGGAGGAGGGGTGTAGTGTGATCCGTGTAGCTGAAGAGTTTTGTAATCAACAAACGTGTTATTTTGTGAGCTTGGAAGGCCTTCCAAGCCATAGGTACAGCTGTTAGAAAGGTTGGTGGTAGCCGCCCCAGGAAAACAACTGCAGTGGATGACTGATATATCATCCTGCAGGTGAAAAGAGCCCGAAACCAGCCAGCAAGTGCCATACATCAGCAACTGCATACAGCAACAGAGTGAATGTTGTGGTTTACAGAGTTCAGACGGCTTCACAAAGGTTTCCTATTCGCACGCCGTCCTGGATGCTGCATCCCTTTGAAAGTTGGTCATCAACGCCACCATTTAGAGTGGTGCAAGGAGCAGAAAAACTGGACATCTCATCAATGGAGTCATGTCCTCTTTACAGACGAGAGTTGTTTTAGTGATTAGCATCGCCTGTTGATTTGGAGAGAGGTCAAGACACAGCTTCATCCCAGTAACATCAAGGAAAGAGAGCACTACGGTGGTACTGGAGTTCTCATCTGGGAAGCACTATGCTGAATAGGTGGACAGAGTTCCAAGTTTTCGGCAGAGGTTCTGTAACTAGAGATTGCTATTGTCAGCAGGTGATCCTTCCCCATGTACGTCTGTTACGAGATGCCATTGGAGCAGACTTTATGGATGACAATACACGGCCACACCAGACACCTGCTGTTCAGAAGCTACTGGAAAGTGAAGATATCATTCGAATGGATTGGCCAGCGTACTCCCCTCATTTAAATCCCATAGACCATGTCTGGGATGCTTTGGGAAGATGCCTTGCAGCTCAACTACATCCTCTGGGGAACACCTAACAACTGAAACAGATGCTGATTGAGGAATGGGCACTCTTATCTCAAGATCTGTTGGGCAATCTGGTGTTGAGTATGGAGAGACGGTGTGAAAAAACCATTGCAGTAAGGGGAGGGCATATCCTATACTAAGGAACATGTGCTTGATGTTCTCTCTCTTGTACAGACAATCATGTGTAACGATACAATAAGTCCAATAAAGCCTTTTTTGTTTGATTCCATATCGTGTGCATTGTATTCATTTTTGCACTACACTTTCATCATACTTAAATGCTTTAAATGCAAAATGCTGTCTTTCATTTCTGAATTTCATGTCTCTCAGATGATTTCTCATGGAGTTATGGCAAAAAGAACACTTGTTGCTTAAGAGTTGCACACCAATGTAATAATAATATAATATGAATATGTGCTTGTTACACAAAAAAGGGAGCCATCCCTATCTTCCTTTTTGGAGGGTTAACCCTCTCAGCGTTACGGCCAGAAAATTCCGCATAGAAGGCTGCCTTCTATATTCACAATACAAGAAAATTTCTGCTAGTTTTTTAATGTATCTGATTTTGGTTTGGATGTATACTGGAAGAAAAGGAATCAAGGTACAAAATAAGAGAGTAATTTTTTAATTAAAATCAAGAAAATTCCACTTATTCATGACATTTTTAGGAACTTTGAAATTTCAGGGCTAAACCCCTAATGCTTGGAGGGTTAAAGGGGGAGGGAAAGTAAATGGGAAGAAAATAAAAATCCACATCCTTCTAAAAAAAATCTAAAGCAACATTTTGAGTTGATGCAATACTTGCAGGAAAACAAAACCAGGGATGCTATTACTGTCAAAATACCAGCAAATATTGGCTAATACCCAAGACCCTCAAATATAATAAAGTTTTTAAATATTAATCTTTGCGACATATAAAATTATTTGTATTAGGATTAAAATGTCAGATTAATTAATAAATTATAAAAGTTTTGAGACCATTCCAGTATCCCTGCACCCCTGACCCCCAAAAAATCTATAGCATAAAATAATGGTACAGCTTTCAGTAACTTTCATATTTAAATGAGAAAACTTAAAACTTTTTATAAACCTAAATATACTACAGAATATACGTAACTATAATGCAATTAAAAAGAATACAGAAATGTAATACAAAATACAGATATATATTAAAAACATAAAAATATAACACTGCACAGTCTAATTTCATTACTTGCCAGTGTTGCTTTCAATGTCAAAATCATCAGCTTTAGATATAACTTCTATCACAGTCTATTAATAAAAAATACGAAAGATTTTAGTGAGTTATAATTAAAAATAAATAAATAAATAAATAAAACATAAAATGCACACTATCTGAGAGAATTTGAGGCACTTTATATTTAAAAATAGTCTTGCAATTGCACATGTAAAATTTAATAACAAATTAACAGAAATTATATATTCAACAGACACATTAAAAAAAACCCACTAAAATTCAATTTCTTGTACAATTAACTAATGAACAAAAATATTACACACAATATAATATAATTACCTGTTTAACTATTGCTTTGATAGTTGTAAAACATTCATCTTTAAAAGTCTGAACAAAACGAAAATGATTTTGACGAAGCATACCAAATACAATAGCAATTAATCTTTCCTATAAAAAATGGAAAGTTTTTAGAATAAAAAAGTTTAACATTCAGTTCTTTCTACAAGGAAATTAATTAGATTAAAACACATTAGCAGCAGATTTAAATATGAATCAATTTTAGTAATAATGGATTGCCAAACAATCAGATTTGGTTAGCAATTTTAAAATTCATATTATATTTACAAACATTTTTTGAATAGTTTTGATAAAATAAAATCACCTCTTCCATTATAAGGCATTCTGTATGTGGCCGATTCAAATCAGCAGTTACATAACGTACAAAATCAGTATCCATCATTTTACCAATAACCTTCTCCATTTCTGCAAGTTGTGAACTAAGATGCCTAAAGATGTAAAATATTCTTATCAGAAAACTTAAAGGTAGAGTATCCTAAATTAATTTCAATAACTGCGATGAGAAAAATGTCATAAAACTCACAGAGACAATCAATTTCACGTAAAGAAATAATATTAATATACATTAACAGAGTTAATCATACAGCATCAGATTTGCAAATTTCCTGAAATTTTTCTTCACATATTTTACATTATAAAACAGAGAAGCTTTTCATGCAACAAATGCTTTATTTTCTAAACGAGTAAAAATAAGTACCAAAGTCACTGAAAAATAACATAAAACACTTTCAATATTTCCCCCCCTCTCTGTTACACTACATATTTATATCTTGCATTTCAAATAATCATAAAATAACTTTTAAAAGCAAATTGAACTACAGAAAAGAAGAAAGATGAGATAATAGTAACTAAAACATATTTAATTTAATTATAAAATCAAAGCATACCTAAAGTAGTAAATTTATTGTCAGGAATATGATAAAATATATTGTCTATCATAAAAAACTATTTTCTTTATTAGAACTCACTATATTAATTTTACATTTCAGAACTTTTTGTTCATTTATCTTACTTTATCTAAAAGTCTGTTACACAAAAACACACCAACAGCATAGTTTTTTTCCGGATTATAGATCATCAATTTAAATCTGGTAAGATGGCATGTAGAAATTATACAATTAAAAATATGAAACCGTAGTTTATGAAATAAAGAGCAATTATGATCTAAAGGATATCAAAATTTACAAAAAAAAAAAAAACAAAAAAAAAAAAAAAAAAAGAGCTTAATATTTATTTGTTTACTTTATTCAACATTTATTTCAATATAAGTTGTTTAAGTTGCTTCACTTTTTGTGCTAAACGCGCATGCATAAAGCATACAAAAAAAAAAAAAAAAAAAAAAAAAAAAAATTGTGGCTTTGAGGTCCGGATTACAACAGACTTTGTACTGTATATATATATTCATAAAAGAGCCCATTTACATTACATTTGCAGTTTATTTATCTAAGACACAAAACTATGAAGGAAAATTACAAAAAATTACTAACTTAAATGGAACAAATTACAAACTTAATTGGCAATAGCTTTTTAAATTCCTAATTTTAATTTAAATACAACCTCCTTCAAAACATCTACACTGCATCACTGACATTATTCATTCTCTGCCAAAAACCACAATGTGAAAGCAATCACTGTTCAGGATTCATAAAATGAATTTCCAAGCTATAAATACAACTGCAACCAACTATGCACTTTTTGGTGCTTTCTCTGAATGAATAACACATCTCTTTGCATGGCTTATCCTATATTATTTAAAATGTAAGCAATGTATATATATATAATTGTGTAGCCCTTATAATTACATAGAAAATATTTAAAAACTAGCTTCAGTTTATTTCCTACTACTTAGTTTATATCCAAAACAGTGTCTTTATGATGCTATTAACATTTAACTCTATTAAAACATTGTCAAACTGCTAGTCATGAAACATGAAAAATTAATTTAGATGTTGCAACAATCTGATATTATAATGACTTATCATAATGCCTACTTTTACTAATTTTATAACACATCTCAACTACCTCAGTAATAAGTACCAGGAATGACAACTGACTGATAATGTTCTTATCAGCAGTTACAATTAAGGATAGCAGAACACTCATAAAGTATTTATTAAATAGTTCTGATTATTACAAAATACTTATTTTACACCATGTCATAGAAATTTAAATGAAGTCTTACATATTTTTCAAAACCTTAAAGAAGCTGATTGAAGTCAGTGTCTAACACTATTAAAATATTATTTGTTTTACTTTTTTTAACCTCTCACATACAATTTAAAAACTACAAATAACTGATTAATACAAAATACTTATTTTACATCAGGTCTTAGAAATTTAAATGAAGTCTTACGTTTTCAAAACCTTAAAGAAGCTGATTGAAGTCAGTGTCTTACAAAATGAAAGTAACACCATTAAAATATTATTTGTTTTACTCTTTTTACCTCCCAGATACAATTAAAAACTACAAATAAAAATAAACTGTTATACCATTTATTTTTGTAATCATTTAGCCTTTTGAAGTTCATAAGAGAAATTATTTTCAAGATGATGTTTTCCATTCTTTTTATGGCTAATATGATGATTTCTCATAGTTTTTTTTTTTTTTTTTAATAGTGTTTGTGTTAGTGCTTTTTATAGTGTAACTCATAAATCTATAAAGTCTTTAATAGATTTACGTGTCCTATCTATGAAAACCTTGTAATTATATTAAATATGAAACAATACAAATTATAATCACATAAAGGAAAAATTTTAATCAATGATCATTTGCAAAACTACAACATGAGGAAACCAGAATTCATTAAAAACTGATAAAAAATTTTCTTTATTAATAGTAGCATCAAAGTGGGATCACCAGATTCAAAATTATACCAATATAGCAGCATAAAATTACAAATAATCAATAATAAAACTAATAATTCACTAAACAGAAAATTATACACTTTAGGAAGTTTATTTTTATTGAGTAATGACACTTTTTCTTTTTCTCTACTCATAATCAAAATTTACTAATCATATGAACTGAACAAATCCATTAATAAATGTAATAGATGCATATATATTGGATTTTAATGAATGTTTCCTGCCACCACAAATATCATCTGCGCAAACAGTTTGTGTTGGCATGTTTAATCATATTTTGCTAAACAATTTTTGGCATTTTAAAGAAAGAGACTTGCTTTAGAACACTGTGTTGTGAAATCGGTACAAAAATATTATTATCATAAAGTACAAGGTGTCTGAAATGGAACCATCATGCTTCCAGATTAGAACTATCATTTACTTCCAGTTCTGTTGCAAGAAGTCAGCTATAGAATGTTACCCAATCATATCCATAACTTTAGGTACTAATGTTGTATCATATGACACTGTGAAGGTTTGGTCCCAAATGTTCCAAAACAAGGACTATGACACTCAAGCAGCAGAGTCCTGTGGCCGGCCGCTGATGTTGATGAGGCCCACCTGTGAGAACTGGTGGAAGAAGATTAGTATGCAACCACTCGAGAGTTTGCTAAGGAGTTAGATGTTAGTGCCATGTCCATTAGTCGCGCTGTGCAACGCATAAATTTGGCGTACCAAGTTCAATCTCTGGGTGCCGCATGGGCTAACTTAAGCAGATAAGGACAGACGTGTTCAGATCTGCACTAATCTGCTCGAATATCAATGGAAGGAAAAAATTTCGGGCCAGATCATCATCACTTATTATGAAAAATGGATTTACTTCCACAACACAGGTCAAAAAGGGGGTTGTTCTGCACCCGGTGAGAGCCTGTTGGCAGCATCACAAAGCACAATTTTACTAACAAAAAGATCATGGTATTATCCACAAAGAGTATCTGGAAAAAGGTAAAAACCTTGACAGTAATGTGTACAGCGAGATGCTAGTCCAGGTTGAAGCTGCTTTTAAGGAAAAACGATGAACTGAGTTCTGGGACAAAAAGGTAATTCTACATCAACATAATGCAAGACTACACGAGTCTGCATTCACCGAATGGACTCTGTACAGACTCGAATGGGACATTTTGTCACACCCATCATATAGCCCCGACATCACTCTTTTGGACTTCTACCTTTTTTCACACCTGTAGTTACATCTAGCTGGTGGTATCTTTCATTCTGCTCAGGATGTCTGAAATGAGGTTGATCTGTTTTTGGACTCGTGGCCACCAAGTTTCCGGACTGAAGGCTTGCAGAACCTACCAAAACATTGGCAGAAAATCATAGATTTGGGTAGTGATTACTACCTGCAATAAAGGTACTGCTTTCATGTTTTTTTTTTTTTTTTTTTTCTAACTTTTTTAAGAACATTTTTTGTGGAAAACTTTTGTTACAACCATTTGTCTATAAAATTTTCTTTACAGTGTTCCTCTTGGCATTTTAAAATCAACAGTTCGTGTAGAGAACTTTTCGTACATTTGAAAGAGATGATATAAATTTTAAAAAATTAAAAAATGGGAGATCTGCTGGGAAATATGAAATTAGGAATCTCTTTATTTTATCAAGATAGTTGGCAGCTCTGCAAGAGATGAAAAAGAAGTATGTTATTTTTAAAATTCAGCAAAATTGAGTTCTAGTTGAATGCTGATTTCAAATAAAGATATCTTTATATATGCCAACAGACAAAATTTCTGTGCAAAATAAATACATTTAAAATCGACACTAAATAAAAGTTGGAATTTATATATATCCTTTGAATTTTACCACTCAGAAAATCCATAAAAATCACTAGTTAAAAATTGATATCATTTGCAGATTCACTATAATTCATTTCAAGGGTCAGAAATTGTGATACTATATTCTGTATGTAGGGTGCATTTATAAAGAGGAAGAGACAATCAGTGGCATTCCACAGTTTGAAATTATTCTTAATCTTCATTGCCATTCAAGTTTTCTAAATCATCTTAACTTTAAAATTTGTATAACATCTAGGTAATTCAAAGAAATTGGACACCATACAAGTGATAAAATAAAATTTACGTCTATTTTTATCAAACTTTTCTCTAAATCAAAAATAGCATAAATTTTTTCTAAGATATTTACAAATTCATTTTTTTTTTTTCACATTTTCTTCCTGCATTACCAACATTGCTTAACACCAATAAATTAAGAAATTAGAAATTAAAATTCAATAATAGAAAATTTACCTAAAACTATGAATACCACTTAATTCTTGAGCTAAGACATCCTGTGTTGTATATATCATATCTAGAGCACCAACAAAATCAGAAGTGTTAAGTAATTTTTGAATAGTTGGCTGTGTTTGATGCACAGTAGATATGAGATTCAGCTGCAAAATACATATAAAAGTAATAATAATAAACTTGCACATCCAAAGATCAATATATAATGCAATGATTAGATATCTTTTTCAAAGTGATACTCAAACTCCAAGATAATCATAAGAAGTGAAAAAAGTTATTAACATATCTTCAAGAAGTTGCTTATAAATTGAATTAAACATGATTCAGATTCATGTCATACATAAAACATTCCAATACATCATGTTATGAATATTATATTATCTTGTTTATTAACAAGGGAAAAAGAACAGAAAAATATTCTTATGCATAGATTAATATATTCTTATTACTGTTAAAATAAAAAATATTTTTATAACTGTTAATTGCAGTTACATTCAACTTGTTTCATCTGGACTGCAAATAATTCACAAATTGATTTAGAAATTTATAACATATGCTGCAACGCTTTCTAATTTTTCCTTTAGTTTTTTTTAATGATATCATCTCAACTAATTTTTAATATAAAAATTTGTTACTTTTCTATTATTGGGGACTGGATTCAGAAATATATGTATGTATGTACTTATGTATATATACAAGATAAAAAATATGTATAACAGCTTTACAATTCAACTTAACAATACACTTTCAATTCTTCATTTTTACTTTTAGTATTTTCTCTCTGTGTTCTAATAATTGCAATAATGTTTCTGGACTGCATCATTTCTACATCCATTTGCATGGCTTGCATAACGCTGATGAAGTAGCTAACTCAGAACCTGAACTAAAAATTTTGAGAACTGAAACCTTTTTAATCTAAACCAAAACCTTCTGTTGGTGAGCCTCCATATTGGATAATTACACACTTTTAGCTTCAGCTTTCCTGCAGTCAAGCTGCAACTTTGCTTCCACCTTTGTTGCTGCTAAGGTACTCAAAAATGTAATGTTCTTGAATAGACACGATTAAAGTGCCAAGTAAACTGTAGCCACAAACTGGAATTTGAATAAAAATGGAATTTAATCTGCCTTGACAGCCAAGCTCCTTATTCATTATGGATTAGCATTCCATGCAATCAAAATTCTTCCTCTTAAATATGGATCTACATTCTACGCCAAACCACACTGCTATGTTTTTTACGTCTCAGTTTTCCTACATCAGTGCTTCTAAATTTATTTTCATTACATATACATATATATATTATATACATATCAGACATAAAGTAAGAAATTTAGAACTAATTTTTCACAAAGCCCAAAAATTTGAAATTCGTAAGTAATAAATTTTACAAAATCCTATAAATGTGAAAAGATATTTAAGAAATGCTAAAACTAAAATATTTCAAATATGTAATACCCTAATTGAAAAAATTAATGAAATTTAAAGAATAAGGAATATAAAAGAAGAGGAATTCAATCAATTTCAATGTCACTTCGTAAGGAGAAGGAACACTGAAATAAATTGAAATCTCTTTTCCATAAAAAAATCCTTGCTTTTCTGTATCCGGAATATGAGCCAATGAACCATTCCAATGTATTTTAATAATAACTAGTGAAAGTACCCAATGGCAGTTAAGTTTAGATTTAGAGTAATGCATCTAACAACAGAAAGAACGATACCGCTATACTCCTTCTCTAATAATGATGCAAAAAATACGATTCATGGTCATACAATTTTCAGTCTGATGCGATATGGAACACACGTAAAAAAATTTGATAGAAAAATAAACTAATTCTCTCTCATTATATCAGCAACAATGGCATGCAGTTTTTAATGATTTTCATCTTTCTAATCAAATGGTCGAAATACCTCAAGCTCCATCCAATATTTCACCTACATTCAATTTTAGTCGATTAAATGTGGCAAAACATTTATCAGAATTGATCAGAAATCAATAACGTGAACAAACACACAAACAGGCATTCTTCCTTATATATATAGATTTTGTAAAACTTACAAATTTTTGATTAATAAACTCTACAATTTGAAAGTGAGCAGTAGCAACACTTTTCAAAATAAAGCATTTTTATCTCCAACGCACCACACCATTGCCACTAGAAAAAAAAATTGAGTGCAAAAATTAATATTTTCAGAGTTCTTAATTAATATCTCAGCTGATTAAAGTCATACGCAGGCAAAATGGCTTCCCACGAACTTCAGGAATGGGGAATAAGGTATTTAACGTTTGCCAATGTTATTTTTATTTCATTGTAAAACTCATTGTGAAATTTTTTACTAACAAACTCTACGGTTTGAAAGGGAGCAGTGGCAACAACTTTCAAAATAAAGCAGATTTTCATCGTCAGCTTCCGAGACTGTTTCCACTCGGAAAAATGAGGGCGAAAATCATTGTTTTTTTTAGTTTTTAATTAATATCTCCAATTTTAGCTACTGATTTTTGAAAAAAAAGTGGGTGTCAACCTTTTCCAGGACCCAGAAAAGAATTGTAGAAAGTTTGGTGATGATAGATAGCTATAGAGCTATGACTGAGTTATTAGTGAACAAACACACACATGCACAGAGAGACTTTCTTCTTTATATATATAGATAGTTCACTCAAAAATTCTGGCCTCTCCGCAAAGCAAGGAAAAAACAAAGTAAATTCAAATCAAAATTTTAACTTTAAACAAGGAGAACTCTATCCAAAGAATTGAAAACGTAAGTGAAATATTAAAATACTTTAGTGAAAAATTCAAATCAAAATTTTACTTTTCAACAAAGAGGACTTTATCCATAGAATTGAGTTTAAAGGCAGAATTTTGATTTGAAATTTTCACTAAAGTATTTTATTATTTCACACACATTTTCAATTCTTTGGACAAAGTTATCTTTGTTTAAAGGTAAAATTTTGATTTGAATTTACTTTGTTTTTTCTTTGCTTTGGGGAGAAGAGAGAATTTTTGGGTAACTATTATAATTAAAATACATTAGAATGGTTCATCTGCTAATTCTTAATACAGAAAACAAGGATTTTTTTATGGAAGAGAGATTTCAATGTTCCTGCTCCTGACGAAGTGACATTGAAGTTGTCTGAATTCCTCTTCTTTTATATTCTTTAAATTTCATTGATTTTTTTAATTAGGGTATTACTTGTTTGAAGTATTTTAGTTTTAGCATTTCCTAAATTCCTTTTTACATATATTATGAAATTTATTACTTATAAGTTTCAAATTTTTGGTCTTTGTGAAAAATTGGTTCAAAATTTCTTACTTTATGTCTTTACTGATAATTTTTCAGCAGCTTAATGCATGAATACTAGGCATGATTATATTATGTTTAAAAAAATGCTTTGTAACTATACATATAAACATAAACAAATGTAAGGAAATTATATATATATATTTACTAAAGAAATATTGATTATATTATCTCCTAAGATTAATTTTAGTAGAATTATCTAAAAGAGTGAATCCATAGTTAGTAAGTTTAATTCCAAAAATTGTTTTAAAGTAATTTGAATGTAAATTGTTAAAAATGTTTAATGGGGACTTGAATTAAATCATGAATAACAAAATTTCAGTTGAATAAGAAATTAAATTAAAGGCAAGTAATTAAATTAAGAGCAAGTAATCATTGCCATTGATCGGAAATTAGTTGACTTTTCACGGGGAACAAACCAACTCCCGTTCAATGTACAATAATTAAGAAATAAATACGAAGGTGTTTCGTCCTTTTCTCAAGTAATAAGGCAATGCCAAACTGGCAATTTAAGTTAGGCCAAATATTTCCGTGAATTGAAGGGATCAAGAACCAATGCACAGCACCAAAGAACTCATTCTGATTAAGCATTTTCGCTAATTCAATTTTGAGTGAAAAGCAATTTATGCAGTGATTTTTTGATTTATCCCCCGACACCCTCGTGTTTATGCATTTTAATTCAACTATTTGTAAAAAATTAAACATTGGAAATTGGCATTATGAAATAGAACTCAAAGTAATTGGAATAAACATTAGAAAATTATGAAATATAAGAAATATAATGTAATCTTTGCAAAAACAAATCAAAAAATAAAAATTTAAATTTAAAATATACATAATAAGAAAAGGGAATGTACATGAAGATATAAAAGGCCAGAAAAAGTAATATTTCTTTAGTAAATAAATTATTATTAACTTACTTTGCAGCTATTGTGCAAGTAGTAGAATAACTTGATTTCACACTAAGTGAATTTAAGATCATACAACATTTTATATATATATATATACATGTATGTGCAGGTATATGTGTATACACACATACATAGATACATATATACGTAATTATGTATGCAAACATTCATTCCAATAACAGGGAAGTAATAAATTTTTATTATTAAAAATATAAAATTTTCATATTGAGGATGCATGCTTATATGTATGTGTGCATGTATATATGTACATAAGGGTACGTACGTGTGTGTGTGTGTGTGTGTGTATGTATATATATACATTTCTAAATCTGAGTCTGAAAACAAAAAAAGTACCAAAAATTTAAACAAAAAGTTTTTATTTAACAAGGTATTTTTTTAATATAAATGCATACAATTTTATTTAAAAAACACAAATTTGTACAAAAAGTCCAAAACCTAATTAAGAAAATTTTGTTAAAAAAAATATTAGTATTATAAGTTTTATTTATGAATAATATGAAAATCATATTGGGACACTATATGTAAAATCCAAGTTATTTCAGCTTAAAATTAGGCAAAATTTAAAAGACAGTACGCAAAACTTATTCTTTAAGAAAGATTGACATGATTCACTATATTCTTCAAAATGGTGAAATATAAACTCTGTTCTGGTTCCAGTATCTGATAATTCATGTGCATTTTCCCTTGCAAAAAATTCTGCAAGCTACCATTTATTGACAATCTTATATAGTATCAAAAGAATCAGTAAACAGTAACAATTTGGTATATTAAAAATGAAATGCTATTACCAAAATAAAATCAAAAAGTATCTTCATACTTTCATAAGAAGATGTTAGGAAATTTGCATTTCCACACCTGCACAGTGCTGAAAAGGAAAAGCAAAACTATGTTTAATCTCCAGTGGAAGCCAGACTGTGTAGTAGTGCTTCTCGTCATCATGGCATAGTATTGCATGGCAAGGAATGCTGATGATGTTGTAGCATCAAAGACATGAGCAGCAAAAGGAGTTGATTACAGTATTGGGATTCCAGTAACCAGTATGAATCATTTCATCAAATCGTGTATCTTAAGTGCCAGCCGATGAACATAATGCCAAGTGGACCCAATAGATATAATGCTAGACAGTCACCATAAAGGAAAAGCAGTCACAGTTGGTTCCGCTGCAATTCTACAAAATTATCCATCTACCCTTGTTATGGTTATAGCTTCACATATTTGTGTTCATTATTCATTCTGTTATGCCTTAGGTGAAGATTCCTTAAAATTCATGTTATTCAGTTACATCCAGTGTTTTCAATGAGTGCAATGTTGCCATAAAACTATCACTCTCAACAAAACAGAGGAAAACAAGGTGAACTAATATTCTAAAATGTATATCTGAAGCAACGCAGTCTTCAAATAAAAATCAGTTATCATCTAGAGTAATACCTCGCATCCTGAAATCAATAAAAAATATATTGGCATGTATAGAATCTTATTAAATATTACCAAAAAAATTCCTGTCTTTTAGAGACCCATCTTTTTTTGTCCTGAATTATGAACAACAATAACTGCTTTTCCTTTTCACAATGTAAGTTTTTCACTAATATATAGAGTTTAGTGTTCTTAGCAATTATCCAAAGTGTCTAAACTCTTGGTAGACATTAAGCAAATTATTACCAAGTCTGAAGTAACAACAAAAACTTGAGAAATGTGTAAAAGACCTTTTATTTAAAACTAAATAAAAAGAGAGAAGACACTCTTTGTGTTTACAACTCAGCCAACCACTTGTGGCAAGATAACTTAAAGTAACAGTAAGTCATATGTAAAATTTAAATTCAAATAAATTATTAGCTGAAGATTACACAATTAAATTAACATGAAATTCACTCTTACTACTGTGGAATTCAACTGTCAGCAATTATAATACAAGGCTGAAGACGAGAACTTTTGAAGTAGAACATGCTTGTCTTACAAGCTAAAAACCTAACCTTAAAGACACAGGAAATAATTTGCTTTCTCATGGGAAGACAGAAAGTGTGTATAGATCCAATATATAAAATAACTAGTGAATTAACATAAAGGAACCTGACAACTATATTAAATATGTATCTACTTTTAGACTCAAGATACCCAGAACAGAATGTAAGAAATTAGTGATTTTTATTATAATACCAAAAAATAAAACAGGCTTACCTTTTTGTCGATTTCAAGTATATTTTTCTGTCTTCGTTTAAGTCGCATAATTTTCATAGGTCCTGTGACTAAAACATCTTCAATTACATGTATCCTTTCCCTGGAATAAAGAGTACTTTATAGGCTCCACATTAATGTGCAAAACTTGTACTACTAAGTACATTCATAAATTATTACATAAATGTTAGTAATTGACAAAGATTTTATGCATTTTTTTCTTCATTTTCATAACCTTCCATTCATTTGGATAACATTCAAATCATTGAAAAAAAAAATCCAAATATATCAAATAATTAAATAATATATAGTGGCAACACAGAGAATTACAGAAAAATATAAAGAAAGATCAAACTGACAAATAAAATCTAAGAAATACATAAAAATAAAAATTCCAGTATAAAATACTAGTTTCCCTGATTAATAGAGAATACCAATTTCTATTTTTGCTCTTAATATATTTTTCCATATGCATGAGAGAGAGAGAGAGAGATGTTGACATTCCTTTATCATAATATTTAAAATTCAAAACTAGCAAGGAAGATATTATATTAAATTTTCAGTTGACAGTCTTTTATAATGCAGCAGTCATCTAAACAGTGAAAATGTAATCATGGAAATAAATTTATTTTTATGACTTTAATTTTTACTTAACATCCTTAAACCTTCAAACAGCATTCCTTCCTGTACCCACTTCCATTAACTTATTTAGATGACTACTATATTATAAAAGTTTATCAACTGAAATTTTTTAGACAAGGTCTTCACTTTTCATCTGGAAAATGTTTAACTTAAAATTATTATAGCTATTCTGAGCAGATTTTCTTATTGCACACACTATGATTATATACCTATGGAAAAAAAAAAAAAAAAAAAAAAAAAAAAAAAATGTCTGGACTTTATTAAACAGAACAGCTCTTATTTATATTACAGAAAGGAAAACTTCCCCCAAACATCATGCAATCAAATTGTTCAGTCTAGGAAGAAGTAAGCAGAATAAGCATTTATTCTCATGTAATTTGGCATAAATTTAGAATTATGTTTTTATTTAGATTTATTCTCATGTAAATAGGCATCATCTATCTTAGTGACAAGTTTTCACTGATCAGAACAGACACTCAGCATGCAAAAAGCATCATAAAACAAAGTAGTTGATGACAGAAAATTATTTCAGGCACATAATTTACTTAATTAATTCATCATGTAGTTTACAAAATAAGAAACCTAAATTTCTTTCCAAAAATTCTTAATACATTAAAATTTCATTATACAGTACAAAGTCTTTAGTCCAGACGTCCATAATCCGGACCTCAAAGCTACAAAATTTCTGAGCATATGCGTAGCGTTTGCGTACGTGCATAATACGTTTACACATGCACGTTTAATGTATAACGGATGGTATAAGCTAGGCTAAAATTATCTATTTCAGTTAATGTTGCAGATTGCGTTGTTCCTTAATCTTCTAATTGGATCTGGCTTATTATTTTTTGCAGACTGTTAGAGCAATTTTATAAAAAGTAAGCTTGAAATTTCAATTATGTCAAAAAGAGTTTCTGATTCTGGAGCTTCCAAAGGATCTACAAAGTGAAAGCATGTTTCAATGTCCATCATACAAAAAGTGGAATTGCTGCAAAAAAATGGATAAAGGCATGAAGAAAGAGACAGAGAGGTTAGTGAAAACAAAAAAACTTCGATTGATAAGTTAGTCGGTATTCTCGGCACAGCAATTACAGGACTTGAACAGCGAAACTTTGTAACTGAACAAGAAATTATGTCTGTTTATAGAATTAAAGAGAAAGTATTAGCACATAAAATGAAGCAACTTAAACAACTTACATTGAAAGAAATGTTTAATAAAGTAAACAAATAAGTATTAAGCTTTTTTTTTTTGTAAATTTTGATACCCTTTAGATCATAATTGCTCTTTATTTCATAAATTACGGTTTCATATCTTTAATTTCTGCATGCCATCTTACCAAATTTAAATTGATGATCTATAATCTGGAAAAACCCCTAATCCGGAATTGCCAAAGTCCCGATGAGTCCGGATTAAAGATTTTGTACTCTAGTAGTTGTTAAAACACAAGCTAATTATACAATTATTTAAAGGCACACAGAAACACAAAAATTTTTAATAGTATGATTGCTTTATTATTATATTATGTCAATAAATTAAATCTCACAAATATTTTTAGACAAATATTTTATAATTTAAATTCAAAAATCAGATTAAACTAGCAAATGCTGTATAAGTAATGAAAAAATCACCAATCATTAGGAAGAATTATTAAAGAAAAAATGATTTGAAAAAAGTTACACCATTAAAAAAATTTCAAGGTTCTTACATTTCAGATTTTTTCTTACTTTATATATCAATATGATATATTTACAAGTTTTATTACATTTCCACTACCCATTTGAAAAATAATATTAACTTATGAATGGTTTTGCAATGACTACAATGTCGAAGATGACATATCTTCATAATGAGGAACATATTCTTCATAATGCACTCCAAGGATAGATGACATGCATAGATGATGTACATAGAAGATGCACAGACAAAACAAATATTTCTTTCATGCACTTTAAGACATGTGAACTGCTTTTACCATTATCGAAAAGTACTAGGAATGATTTATTTAAAAAGGGCATGTGAAAGGTGGTAGTGGTAATGCATTTCTGGTGCAAAACTCTAAAGACCATATGCACCAAACACAGGATTCGTTCTTTAACACAAAAACTATTGTACATCTGTTAGATAAAAGGCAAGTTTAAAAACAACAGTAATCTTATAAAATCGAGACTAGTAGCAAAATTATAAATGGTTGGATGAACTGCTGATTACGATTCAAATAATGATATATGCAGTATAGATGTAAAATCATAAAACATCTGATTCATTAAACTACATAGCATCAAAATTCTAAAATGGAATCTAACACAAAATCAAATTAAATAATAGAGACCTGTTTCTTTCAGGTAGTGAAACAAATTGGTAACGACCTCTCTTCCAACTAAATGGTCGAGAGGCAAGTCACAGCTATTAAAATACTTCTAACGAAGACTATTAAAATATTGACACACAAAAAGACAAACAGGATCATTCTTATCTTTCAATAGATAGTTATGTGTCGCTCTAGTGTGGCCACTTCTCAGGCGAGTCAAAAGAACTTCTTTCTTACGATTTCTAGTAAATCCTAATGCTTTATTTTAGGCTTCACTCTTCTTAACTTGTTACAAGATTGAAAGTTCCAAAGTTGTTGCCATTTTTTTTAGGATCCTTTGTTTGATGACACGACTAATATCTCTCAAAGGGATGATGTAACCGGACAGTCCAACAGCAGATTTTGTTGTGATATCTGCAAGCTCATTACCCTTTATTTCTGTATGTCCGGGAACCCAGCAGTATAGAATTTCATATCAAAGACTTGCTAAGTTTATATTTAACTTCAGTACATCAACTATCACAGGATTATCAGTGCTGGAAAAAGATTCTAAAGCCTTCAACGCACTGTACAAGTCTGTATATAATACATTTTTTATGGTGTAGCCTTGAGATGTATAAAAGTGCACAATATATGGCAGTCAGTTTAGAGGCTAAGACTGAGGAAGTGTTGTCTAAACATCTGCCCCCTCCCATGTGGTCACCAATTATAAATGCCATCCCAGCATGACCAACATCCCAACATGACTTAGATCCATTTGCATATATGGAAAGATAAAATTACCTATGCTTGTGCTCAGCAAAAATCTGTCTGTAGAACAATCTCATTAGTGGTAGTTTTGACAAAATAGTGGAAAATATTAAGGAGCTGGATTCCTGCATTTTTTCAAGGTGGGATTTCAAAATGCTGTACTGCTTGTGAGGACATATCAGACAGGGAGAGTTCTTCAATGAGAGGACAAACCCTTATAGGAAAAGAAGGCACACAGGATGGACGTGCTTCAAATAAAATGTCACAGATACTATCAAGTAAACACAGTTTATAAAGATGGTCATATTGAGACAGTTAATACTATAAAATACTATAAAAGAGACAACTCCTCACACCTCAAATGGAGTGATAGTTCGTAACAGTTAACATAAAGACTCTGGACAGAAGATGTCCTGAAAGCACCAGAACAAATCTGCAGAGCTTGGTGATGAACAGGATCTAGTTTTAACAGCACTGAAGACCGAGTGGATACGTAAACAACTGAGCTGTAGTCCAGTCTAGAGTGAACAAGAGCTCAGTAAATAAGAAACATAGAGCAACGCTCTGCACCCCAGGAGGTACCCCAGGGCTTTTAAAACATTTAAAATTCTCGTACACTTTTTTTTTCAGGTTTACGACATAAGAAAGGAAAGTCAATTTTTGGTCGAACATCACCCCTTAAAACTTTACTTCAGGTGCAACTGGAATCATTGACCCACTGAAATATAATTCATGCTCAGGATGGAGACCTTGCTTTCTACAAAAGTGCCCGCACAGTCTTCTGTTTTGAAAATGTAAATCCTTGTTTGTTTGCCCATTCCTGGATCCTGTTCAAACTGATCTGGAACTGCCTCTCTACATGTCTCATATCTACCCCTCGACAGCTAATTTGTAGGTCAACTACATATAAAGATCCTAAAATGGTGGGAGGAAGCTCTTTTAAAACTGAGTTTATTTTTAAGCTGAACAGGGTTACACTAAGAATACAGCCTTGAGGCACACTCTCTTCCTGTTTGAAAACTTTTAAAACAGAGCCAATCCTTACTTGAAAGTTCTAGCTTCCAAAAAATTCTTAATGAAAAATGGTAGGTTACCATGCAAGTCACTATCATAAAGATCCCGAAGTATACCATATCTCCATGCCTCATCACAAGCTTTCTCAATGTAAAAAAAATCCCTGAGACAAGGTGATTTCTTCTTATAAAAGCTTTATGAATAGATGTCTCCAAAAGCAGCATATTATCTATCGTTGTCCTTTCTTTTCGAAAACCACTTTGATAAGGCGATATTATATTATTCTTCTCCAAATAGACTAGGCGGCTGTTTACCATTTTTCAAATAGCTTGCATACACAGCTTGTAAGGGCAATTGGCTGATAGTTTGTGGGATTCCTTGGGTCTTTTTCT